CCCACCCTGCAGATATTTCGAGGCATTTCTAAGGTCCCCTCTCAGCCTTCTCTTCTCCAGGCTGAACAAGCCCAGCTCCCTCAGCCTCTCCTCGTAGGAGAGATGTTCCAGTCCCCTCCTCATCCTCGCAGCCCTCCGCTGGACTCTCTCCAGCAGCTCCTCATCTTTCTTGAACTGGGGAGCCCAGCACTGGACAGAGTACTTCCCTCTCACGATTTGACAGAATCTAGGGAAAGGGACACAAACCAGGAATGGAGATTATTTCTCTTTTTTTAAAGAGAGAACTGGAGTGTCAGAGGATTATTGTCTTCGGTCTGCTCTGTTTCGGTCCTCGCCGTACAGCTGCCCTTGCAAGGTCACTCTTCAGCCAGCTTCCCCAACCCGTGAAAGATAAGCACTTTCACAGGAGCTGCGCCTGACTGCGACAGGCTGAGATTGTTTTGCAGAGTTTGGATCCAAGTTCATCATTTTCCACTACTGATCTGTGTTAGAAATGACGTCAGGTGCGTCGGTTGGCGTGTGCCCTGGAGGCAATTCCTGCCTCCCTTCCAGACCCGTTGTCTGCCTTCGGATGTTAAGATTACAAACTTTGTGGTTGGATTCTTCAGCTTGGCGTGGATTGCCCTGATCGCTGCCTGTTTGAAGTACTTGGAATACTTCCTCCCTACAAAAAGTAAGAGTGATAATGTGGGGAAGCTAAGAGGGCTTTCTTAAACTGCCTGCCTGGATAAGGCTGATGAACAGTGTCCATGGTAGTTCCCCAAATCATGTTGTTATAGACTTCTCCTAGGGAACTCTGCAATAAAGACTCCCTCCTCGAGGCATGATGTCTGTAGGAGTGTGACGCTTTAGAGCTTTCACAGGTTTTATATTGTTAATTCTTGTTATCTAGTCCTTGTATAGCATCTAACAAGTGTATTTACAATTTCAGTTTATCTTTATTAGAAGAGTTTGACTGCAGCTGTAATGAGTTGGAGTCCTTACCTTCCACCATCGGCTACCTGCATAACCTGAGGACCTTGGCTGTGGATGAGAATTTCCTCCCTGAGCTGCCCAGAGAAGTGAGAAGCTGATTCTGTTCTTAAATCGCAGACTGTGGCAGGCCCAGGGTTTCATCCCTGCTCAGCCCAAAGCTCTGTTAAACCAGTTGTTTCTGCCCGGTGTCCAAGACCAGGTCTTTCTTACGTACTCAAGGGTGAAATAGTAAACCCAGTCAATGAGTAGATTCGCGTGAAGGTGAGCGCGTCGCTCGGCAGCAGTGCAGGTAACCCGGGGCATTTCCCCGGTGCTGCTGCCAAAGGGAGCGTGGTATTTTCTGACTGCAGATTCTGGCTTTGCTGCTTTTTGTCAGTTATAGTAAAAATGCGATTTGGCCACCTCCCGACATAAAACGATAGTGGGAATAAATTTTGTCGAAGTAGGTGGCCTAACATCTTCGTTTTTTTTCGTTCCTATAGATTGGAAGCTGTAAAAACGTAACGGTGATGTCTCTGCGCTCTAACAAGCTGGAATTTCTTCCTGATGAAATTGGTCAGATGCAGAAGCTGAGAGTCTTGAATCTGAGCGATAACAGGTATAGTTCACATCATTTTTCTAACCCATTGTAAGAATTTATTTTTTAAAAAAATTTAAACTATTCTTTTTAGGTATTTGTAAAAATGGATTTATATAAAATATATTAAAAATTATAAAAATTATATTTAGACCTACTTTAAACTATAAGGAAAAAAAATTGATCTCTTTTTTTAATCTTTATGGTTTGGTCTTAGCTCCACTCACATCCAAAGAAAAACTTGAAAGGGGCCAAGATCTGGGTCTCAGTGTGTTTTAATAGATTAAAACCGGTTTACTTCTTTTAGCTCCTGCTGTTTCCCTGTGAAAGTGTGATATTTCGCTTTGACATTGTGTAGAACTTTGTAATATTTGATGATGAAATAATTGCGACAAGCTGATATGTAGAAAATCATGAAGCACAGGCATACTAGCGTGTTCTCCTGACTCCACTGAAATCAAAAGAAAATTTTCCATTTCCTTCAGTAGAGCAAAGGCTGTGTCAGAACCCCCGATTCTCGTGTCCGTATGCGCAGGAGTATCCTGCTGAGAAAGGGAGTGCTTAAAATGAGCCTTTCTTGATACCTGTCCCCTGCTGCTGTAGGCATCAGAGAAGACTGACTTTTCCTTGAAGTTCATACGTGTGTTTGTTCCAAGAACATGTTAATTTTCCGTGTAGCCACAGAAATACAAGTTTGGTCAGCAGTGCAACGCGTGGTGTGAATGCCATTTTGTTTCCAGCAATTATCATCCATAGTCAGTAAAAATTAGACGAAGGCCTTCCCACACCTGTGTCTGATTTACTGTCAGCAGTTTCGTTGCTGAAATCAAGGTTGACCATAAAATGTAAAATGAAGTAGTGTAGAAATCCTTGCAATACATTTGTTTAAAATTTGCTTAATTCTCTTAGATGATTTTCCGCTTTGCAATTGTGTGTCAGAAAATACATAATGTATGGACCAGAACGTAAAGCTCAACTGAGCTCTAGTTTGTGTTGAAACTGTCCAGGACCCAGAATCAAACTGGTGTTGGGTGAACACTGTGACTCCCTTGGGCCGGCGTTCAGTCAAACTGGTGTTGGGTGAACACTGTGACACCCTTGGTCTGGTGTTCAGTCAAACCGGTGTTGGGTGAACACCGTGACTCCCTTGGGTCGGCGTTCAGTCAAACTGGTGTTGGGTGAACACCGTGACTCCCTTGGGCCGGGGTTCAGTCAAACTGGTGTTGGGTGAACACCGTGACTCCCTTGGGCCGATGTTCAGTCAAACTGGTGTTGGGTGAACACCGTGACTCCCTTGGGCCGGGGTTCAGTCAAACTGGTGTTGGGTGAACACTGTGACTCCCTTGGGCCGTCGTTCAATCAAACTGGTGTGGGGTGAACACTGTGACTCCCTTGGGCCGACGTTCAGTCAAACTGGTGTTGGGTGAACACTGTGACTCCCTTGGGCTGGCGTTCAATCAAACTGGTGTTGGGTGAACACTGTGACTCCCTTGGGCTGGTGTTCTTGCCAGCAGAGGCAGCCCAGCTTCCCTCGCTGCTCCTGCATCCCCACGCCCGGTCCTGTCCCCGGGCAGTTTTGCCCAGGCGTGTGGTGATCTTGAGCACGTGAGTGATAGAGGTGAAGGCAGTCTGTCAGAGATATGGTGCATTTTCAGGTGGACGTTTCCAGCGGCTGGAAACCAGTCGTTGTGCCACGAGTTTGCATTGAGGAAGCAAAAAACTAGTCTTTTTTTTTTTTTTTCCTTTTTTTTGCCAAGTTACTTTTGAGCCAGGTCAACTGCTGATTTCATGTGTGACTTCATGTGTAGTTACTGACTGGGAGTGCTGTTGCTGGGGTGCGAGAGGAGGTGGTAAGAGCAGGCAAGGTCTCCTGACCAAGCTGCCCCAACAGCTGGGTGCCACCCAAGCAGCAGGCCTGCCCCACCTGCCTTTGTCCCCTGCTGCCCCGGTGAGGGAGAGGATTGGGATGTCCATTGTGGAGGAAGGTGATTACGGGACCAGCATCCCAGGGATGTGCTGTTCCCTGGGGTGGGATGTGTCGGTTGCTGTCCTTCCGCTCCCGCTTCAGTGCCGGCTGGCAGCCCTGCGTCTGCCCTTGTGCTTGCTCGGGGCTCCCCGGCCAAGCCACTGAGCCGCGGTAACTCACTGAAACTAC